ATACATCAGACGGGTCTCTGGGGATGATGGATAGAGGAAATGAAGAAAAGAGCAGAGAAAGAAAGGCTAACGATGTGGAATAACATATCTAGCATAACGAGACGGATTTAATATCGGAGAAGAGAATAGATAGCAACAGCCAATATGAGCAGACGAATGATTGGATATAAAAATCTAAACGGAAATGAGTTTTTCTTTTTATACGTTTTTCACACGCATTATGACTTACGGTCAGGCCCTCGGGGACCGATAACCCCGGATGGTAACTTGCAAAGGGCGACAGAAAACGGCCTTTGGTGCTTCGTATTCGGATCGTCACAATTTCACCATACATCGTACAATGACAATTTATAGATTTTATACAGCGGAAAACAACATGAAAACGCGTCTTTTTTTTGGTTGACCTAGGTCAAAAAAAAAAAAAACAATATCAAAGCAATATTGTTATTTGTTAATAATATACCACAGACAGCAATTCGTCACAATTGTTTGATCCGCATAGAGGTTAGACCTGTTGATCGAGCATTGACTAATGATTTTATAAATAATAATAAATATACATTTGCAACCACATAATGCTTTATGTATTTTATCAATATCACACTTGTTGGTGAATTTTTATTTCAGCATTCAATTATTGACTTGTTAATATAGTCATAACCTATGTCATAACAGTTTAATAACGTAAAAATCTCCGGTCGCTTTGAAACCACATATTGAAATAATTATTGTTTAGTATCCAATTTATTGATTATACTGACACTTCAAACAACCCTCACTTACTCCATAGTAAATAGTCATTAAATTTAAATTCCAATAATTATTGTGTTTCACATTATTATTTAATTATATAAGTGTATTGTGTGTGTAAAAATATGACTACCAAATATTTAAATTCTCAATTTCAATGATAAAAATAAAATTAATCGTATAAATAGGAATCCCGTCATTGAATCATAAATATTTTACCATGATATAATTTGTTGAACCTAAATCATTTATAGTACAAAATGGTATATTGTGAAAATAAATTGAATGTCAGATCAAAAATAAAATAAAGCTGCAGCTGGTATTAAGGTCTCAAGAAATAAAGTGTGAAAATAAGGCTAAAAAATGTGTATTCATCGTAAACAAAATTATGACTTAAAACGGACAGTTAAAGGACACAATTTTTAATTTGCATACCATTTGTTGTTCGCTAAATAATATTTTCAATTAACCGTAAAATACGCTAAATATTAAATATTAACTAAATTTAAGTTCTTAATACCCTGATTTCTGATTTACCGAAGTCAGTGTGAACTTGACTACATAATAGTGTTACCAACCACTAAAGGTGAAGTTATTTTAAGCACGTACGACACACAAGCAAGAGTATAAATTTAATACATTCCCATATATTATTTTAAAATTTATTCGTTTGTGGATAAAAAAAAAAAATGAGAAAATAACGATTATTGACGTGCACTTACAATACTTGATAACATTTACATCATTTGATGTTTGATTTAAAATTTCATATTTGTTGACAGAGAGCCTGCTGTACACACTAAAAAGAATGCTCAGCATGGCTTGACTTATAATACATAAAACACTAAATCAGAATTTTAATAATTTGGTCTATTTATTTAGTTTAAGGGTTATAGACATTTTGTCTACATCGTTAAATGTTGGGGAATATGCTCTTGACCGCGGTTAGCAAACTTTTCATTTTATTGATTGAGTTGAAAAATGTAACAAAACTAAACAGTAAATAAATCAATATTTACTTTTCATTAACTAATAAACATATCTTATAACGTCATATATTGGGTATATAATGTGTTGCTAATTAAAAACAAATACGATATTTAATTATTATTTACATTTGTTACTTACAACTATTTTTCCACCGATATTTAAAAACGTCTACACAAATTTAAAAATATTCAATGAATCGTACTTATAATATTCCTCATAGTTAAGTATAACAAACCACTTTGCTCAAAATATTAGTGTTAATTCTTAGCTATGACTGCTGTTATAGCTTAGATAGTTATAAAATTTAAGAAAAAAACAAACATTTAAAGCTTAAATAGGTATTCCAGTTTGAAAAATTATTATAATATTTAAAAAAATAGTTATAACTTAGATCTTATTATTTTTAGAATTTATATATAAGTACAGGCGATTAGCTAAAATGTATGTTGTAAAAATAAAAATAAAAATCTAAAATTCACTAGATTTATACAAATATAAGTAACATACATTATATCTGCTCATCAAATGTTTGCCAATAATAAAATTAATATAATATTTTAAAACAAGAATAATAATATAAATGATAATTTCACATTTACACGCTCAATCAGCTTAAACTATTTGTTTCTTATAAATACTAACTTAATCACCCAATATTCAGACTTTTAGCGATAAATGCTAGTTAATTCAGCCTTAAAAGGATGAGTGTATTATATTTGTTTTATTTATTAAAATTTACAAGATTATGTATTTATATCATAAAATATGTATTATAACTTATAAGATAACATTTAAAACTATGAACATCATTTTAATAGTCTACCCTGAGAATTAACTATTAAGAATTAAAATGAATCTCTAGTGAAGCCACTTGAAAATATTTTCCTTATTATTATTTACTTTAGATTTCGTTTTTATATAATATAACATACATAGTATTATGTTTTTATACAATATATATAATATATATATATTTTTTTTTTTGGAAAATTTAATTATAGAAAAAAGATGCCTTGTAACATAATATCTAGAAATACGGTCGAGACAAATTTAAAATTGATTTATTTCTCTGGATAATTGTTGGGTTAGGTACTCGTACATAAGAGATTTATTATTATGTGATATGAGGTATAGTTTTATTCTCGCGAGAATTTCATAGGTTTGAGCCCAAAGTTAGTTGAAATGACTGTTTGATCGTAGTGTTATAATTTACCACGTAAACTTTTTTTATTAGCCTTGCGTTATTACGAAAAAAGTGTTAACTCGATTTGATATGTCATTTTGTGCACACACAATTTTGACGAAATCGATGGATGAGAACTAATATTTGATTCCCTAGAGTATTCACGGAAGATTTTCAGTAAAATACATTTTTTTCTAAAGGACCTTAGATTATATTATATTTCTTTGACAATCTTTACGGCTTTACCGTACGCATGTCATATTCAATATTATTATTTTTTTGGATCTGAGCAAAATAAAATAAAAATAAGTAGAACAAAAGCTCCGATGTAAATATGCATAATATAAAGAACTTAATAATAAGGGTTCACTTCATGTTTTAGATTGATTTCGGTGTTAAACATTTTTCTATAGCAATGACCTTAAAATAACTAATATCTCTACTACAGATTTTACAAATAACTTCCTAATATATCAATTTCACTTAATATAATATAAAATGTCATTCAAGTACAATGTTACATAATGGATGACATTTATGAAACTTTACTACAGTAAGCTTTTGCACTCATTTAATATTCGTGCAACAAAGTTATCCACTATGATATTCAGTGAACATAATATAGATTCAAACCACATTTACTTCACACTCGTAATGTATTTTAAATAAATTTATATAATTCATTTTTTATGACTAAATTTAAATCTACTTATCTCAATATAAAAATATTTTCTGATAACTATTTAAAATATAATATATTAAAATGTAAAGTTTGATTATTTTTAGTAATATAAATAAATTAAAGTACATACTGTTAGATTACCTGAAATAATAAATCCATCCATCATATTTCATAATAGTATTATGTTAACATATCGTATACGAGCAACTAGTGTAATTTGACTAAACGAGTACCTAAATAATAATAATGTTTTATTTTATCCACAAGTATCAATCACTGGGTTCAGATTATCCTATAGTTTAATTATAAATTTAAAATTTAAATTTATGGCGATAAAGTTATAACTACTATAACATAATGTAATGTATACATTTATAACTTGTTAATATTTTAAACGATTTGTCGGGTAATATGTGGGATTACGAGATAGTATCCCTAACCTATTTGTATTTATATAAAAATAAATACAAATATTGTAAGTTTTATAAATTTTATTCAACGTTTATGAATTAGAAACTATTTTAAAAATAACCCAAATAACATAATAACTATTACACAAAACACAAGGTACTGTATATAATACATTTTCTCCATATTATTATGCTATAATATTAGTTCTTATCTCATAAGTATGAACGTTTTTGTACCTACAGAAGTAGTATCCTGTTTTAGACTATAAAGTCAGCTATTATAATATATTTTGCAATATAAATAGGTATTTAACAGTAGTATTATATAGTACATTGTGTTACCTATGTTAATATTGTATTTGGTTGTTATGTTGAGTTAGCTGGTTTAAATTGACACTTAATTGCTATAATTAATAATTTAAATAAGTTATTATTAAAATATTATATATATATAATAAATCAAATTAATTTGTTTAACTATTGTTAGTAGATTAATCATTGGATATAACAATATTATATTCTTTAAAAGTATAGTTATTAATACTGAATACTTATTAACACCTATGAATTTTTTTGTTGATACAAATAATGAAAACTTCTTATTACTTTGGAGAGGCCGGGAATGATGTCAAATGGAGTTTTTATAGATTTTTTTATAAGTTAGTGGAGTGAATTATTCAAAATAATTAAATAAATATCAAAAAACACGGTTGGTAAACCAAGTCTGTAACATTTACACAAAATTCTAATAAAATTCAAATAAAGTTCGTTCAACTTTAATTAAATGTATTAAATGTATTGAAGTCATTAAAAAAGTCTTTAATAAAGTCTTTTATAGAAATCGTTTCTACTGTTCGTTTCAACGCATTCGTATTCATAATACCACGAGACCTGCCTATTTCAAATGCAATAACCCCGGTGATAACTTTTTTGTGTTTGATATTAAAATAATTACTTTATAAAAAAATGTATATAATTATTTCAGAATGTCAATGTTCTTTTTTCGTTTGCACAACCTTCGCCGTGAGGAGGAAATAAAAAAACGCCGGAAACGAGGCATGAGGCACAGGCATCAGCTAACACTGGCGCCCAGCCGGTTGTTTGAGAAACCACCGCTAACACCATCTGATAGCCTAGACGCGGTTGCCTTGCAAATTCCCAGGTAAGATTTATTGCAGTTAATTCTTATCGTTCTTAATATGAATAATAACAGTTTAAAAGTAGTACTTTTTGAGGCACTAAGAATCTGCGTTGTCAGAATATATAATGTATTTGTATTTGAGTAACTTGAAACGCCATGTTCAAGAGTGAATTAATAGTATAATAATTAGTTACACATAATATATTTGTATAATATTATATAAACAGTTTTCTGTTCAATAAATGAAAAAAAATTACAAAAAATATACACTCCTACTGATGTAAAATACGTTTTAAATTAAATAGCTCAATCATATTTTATTGCAGATTTATCGATTTACTGTTTTTATTATTAACACAGTTTTAATTATGTTTAATGAATAGTATCTAGTTATAATCTAAGTTTGCGAATAAACTTTGTTTCACAAATAGATCCATTGATTTCGTTTTTATACATATGTTTTATTTCTCATCAAAATCATACTAGTATTTTAAAATATTCAATTATTTGTGTTACTTTGCAAGTAACTTTCAAAGTTTTGAAGTTTAGATTCAACTTGTTCTATGTAATTTTTCTTCAGTCTTGTAGAAGAAGTATGGTATTTCAATGTCTCTGTAGTTTGTATAGTCATTTATTGCATGTCAATTTTATGTCGGAGAGCTTTTAAGGGGATACTTCAGAGTTTATTTCGAAGAATTTGTATTTTATTGATTTCTGTTTAGAAACTACGGCCTACACTTTTCAAACGATAAGATCAAAAGTGATTGAACTATTTTTAAGTATTACTGTAGTCTGTAAGAATCATGCGTTATTAAGATATAGTTTACTGTAGGATGTACAGAAATTCAATTCTAGTATTTTCTTGATTTTGTTTCCAAAAAACTCTTCCTAACATTTACTCTAATATAACCACAAAATAAATATGTTTTCAGAAGTATATTAAATTACTATAAATATACAAATTATATGACATTGCATTTTCACTGTTTATGTTTCATAATTATTCATAAGCGTAGTATAAGATATCACTTAAATAAGGTGTTCTTAACTACAGGAACCAAAAAAACTGAGAAAATAAAGTGAAATTCACTCATTACACACATTTATTTATTTCATCTGTTTTTTTCTGAACAATTAATGCATACTAGTATTATTACCTGTTTATTATTAAGCTTCTGATAATATTATATAATATAATATTTAACTATTTTGAGTATAATTTTTTCATAAGACCCATATTACTTAATATTTATTAGATTTAAATTAAGTTTTTGCTTTAAGTTCGTTGTTGTTTTTTCAATTTATTGTGTTTTTGCTAAATTATAAAATACGTCACAGTTACCAGTTTTAATTTTATTTACAATACAAACTGAAACAATAGATACAAACAATGAAACATAAAAATTGTATACAATAAGAAATGTTCAGTTATTAACAGAATGGTATTAACTATTCATTTAATATTTTCATATACTTTCATATTATTCAACAAAAAAATTTGACTTTTCATAATAAAATAACACGTAGGTATATAAAGTAATAGTTATATTTTTATTTTATATTTATTTTAAACAAAAGACATTCCTAGCCTAAGGCTATCTATATCTCTAGTGATGTATACATATTAGTTTTAAACTTTTAACAGATTAACGTGATTATTCAAAGTATTTTTTAGTACTATTTATAATTGACAATTGGTCATTTTAGATTTACAGAAGTAATGTGATTAAAATAACATACTAATATTTACATATTTACAATAGTATAACTATAAGTACAGAGGAGTCGTAAAATGATGTGTAGAGTGAAGATTTGGATGTTGAGAGGTGGAATAGTTATATTATAAACCTAAATATTGGTCAACAAAATATTATAATTGTTTTGTATCACTTATTAATTTTCATCATAAACCAAAAAACGCTATGCATTTATGAATTCTTATATGATAACACTTTTATTGACACTTTTACAACCTACATATGATTGTAATGTTATCTACAATTGTGTACAATATTTTGTATTTTGTTCAGTATTATCAAATGTTGAGATATTTTATTTATAAGCCTCTAAAAAAATCATGTTTTACCATGCATACCAAAAAAAAAAAAAAAAAATAGAAGAGATCGTAAATGTAAATTCACAATTGAAGACACTCTTGGGGAAAATATGTGGGTCTGCTTTATATAAGACATTTGAACTGTTTTTACATAATTTAACATTTTTATTTTTTTGACAAAATTTATGTGTTTTGCTATTGTAGTTTATTATAGTTAACACTTTTTATAACCAGCTGACGTGATATACGATACATTTGAAGGTGTATCAACTATATCATAATTATATTTATATGTCTAATATATGGTAATAACATATAATACAAATATTGTGTACCCATGCAATTCACATTATATTCCTAGACATAAAATATTATGTGTACATCAATAATTACTTAGTTACAGACTTATAGTGTATTTCTTATGTTTAATCATTTTACTTAAACATGCAAATAAGTTGCACCTCTCCACTTTTATGATAAAGCCATTAATTTATATTCCTACAAAAAATTAGCATTTATTTTCCAATAATGGTTTGGAAACAATATTGCATATTACCTTAAAGATATTTGTTTTAGTGGTGTATTATACATACAACTTGAAATGTTTATAAATAATCGTATTGACATACAGCATGCATATATGAAACGAAAAATCTCTATGTAGAAAAGAAAAATTAAAAAATACCAATCCAGACATCATGAAACGAACTTGTTATGACGTTTAAAATTTCAAATATGTGGGTTTTAAACAAAGACCTATGCAAGTATATAAATTCCAAGCACTTATTTAAAATATGTTTTTTGTATTAAAAATAAATAATAATTTTGTATGAACTGCATTATTTTTCAAACAGTCACCTTAAATGAAATTGTTTTTTGGTAATTCAAGGTATTTCATATTTAGTATTTACTCGAAAAATTATCTTGAATTTACAATATGGGCAGTTAATGTATGTGTAATTTAATTCAAATCAAAAGTAATTGAAATATTTAATGTTTTATACAATATTTGTATATATTAGTAACTAAAATGTATATAAGTCCAATATCCAATGTCCATCGCCAATGATTCACCATGGTAGTATAAAAAATCTGCAAATTACCTTTAATTTAAAAAAATTAACATCAAAGATTAAAAATATAATTTGTCTTAGATGTTTATGAGGTTATACACTTTTACGTAGGTATAATTTTAAAATAATAAGTATACTTATTTAAAAAAAATAATTAACTAATTATTGGAAGCTGTCTTCTTAATATAAGGGGGTTAATACTATTTTTCTATTTACTTTATACGTCTTTAACTGTCTTATATCACTGTATATTGTTTCTTTTTTCCTTTTTTTTTGTTTCTCTTTATTTGTCATAAGCTTTTATGATGTATGTGTTAAGTATATGTGTAATTGCGTAATTGAATAACTGTCAAGCTATCAATAGTATATAGCTCCTATCATAGGTAGATATCAACTAAAAGTTAGTAAAATTTAAAAAAAATATGCTTATTTTTAAAAAATAACCTTTAAATGAAATAATTAAAGTTCAATACGGTTGACTTATTAGATTCGTCATATTTTATAATTTTTGAAATGCGTAGATTTAAATAATATATGTTTGAGTGAACTATTTTAAACGTTAATTATTTATTTATTTCAAAGATTTAAAAAGTTGTTATTACCTAGTTGAGACTTCTTACAACATCAATAATAAAACACGGGAATTAAAACTGTTTTCTTAAGCTTCAAATCATTTTTAACGTTGTTTTCAACTAAAATAAGCCTTGAGCGCAAGACTAATTAATTCAGACAATTTATTTGATAAATTATAATATTGTAAACTTTTTATGCTTTATAGAAACATCATTTTCAAAATAATATGCAGACATTTTTTATATTTTTTCCAAGCGTAAACTACCAATTATTCATAAGCAAAAAGAAAGGATTAACATTACCTACCTACTATATCAATTGTATTTAAATATGGAAGTAGACACCTACATATGATGCATTAAAATTTATTTTATAAAAAATTCAATTTGTTAGAGAGTAAAAATTTTCGGAATCGCTGAGGCTTATTATAGGCAAATTATTATATTTATTAATATAAAATAAAACCTTGAATTCCGAAAGATGTAAAATTGGTAATATTTAAAATTCATAGGTTTGTTCTTTTAATAAGACACATGCCTAGACAATAAATTAAAGTGGTATATATAAGACAGTTATAGGTACAGCCGTATCCTGAGGTGTTCCTCATCGTCTATGATTTAATTATGTGTCTAACAACAATAGTTTTTTTTCCCATTATATAGGTATACAAATATAATGTCCATAGTATGATAAATACTATTATTATTGCTTTTAATGCCACGTACATTGTGTAGCTTATACAATTTTTTTTTTAAGAATTGTATAAGTTTTAAAGATTTTAGCGGTCGTGTAATAACTCTGCCATTTTATAAATTTAGTTAATAACGCAATACAATTATTGGCAACAAACTAAAAGTGTTTCATTTTAATCTCCAGGGACTTTCAGCATTACGTTAAATATGTCATTTACAAAGTATAGAAATAGGTATAGACTGTATGGTCACGTTCTATGAACCGTATAAATAATTTACTAAGTTTCTAGACATATTATGTCACATATTATAATATAGGGATAGCAAGCAAATATACATTCCTATATTGTGTAAGTTTAAGCATTAACCTTCAAACCTAAGTACATCAATCTATTAATTTATGTATAGACGTCGAGGTATATTTTGACTATCAGTAGCCATGATATTGTGTTTCTTTCAAATGATATCTTTATGATAGAGAATATTCCTCTATTTAAATTTGGTTTAAAGTTGTATGGTATTCACATATTATCATGTATTTGTTAGAATCAAAGATGGGTACTATTAATGATTAATCTCAACTGTTATGTTGATCCATTCCACTAAATATGGCTTTTTTATCCAAGC